AAAAAAAAAAAAAAAAAAGAAAAAAAAGAAAAAGAAACGAGAATGAGAACAGTTTAGAATGTAGAACAATTACTTGCCTTTAACTCTGCGTTCCAGGATTTTAATTTAGTAGGAACGAGAAACGAGCAGAATTATGATAAAACCTTGCCGTTACTGGTTAAGTTTTCTGCAACCGTGCAGACTAATTTCTAATGCAGATACGTACGTTTGTATGTTGCAGGTGACGTACGCCGAACGGGCCAGTATTCATGCCAGTATGCCAATCAGATGCCAGTAGAGAGCCAGTATCTGTATCTGTCGCCACCGATAGCCAATTAATAAGTTACTTAGATAGTTAAATTAAATAGACGATACATTCACGTGTCGTTCAACAGGCATGACGAATATACACCGTATATATACATAAAAATATATATAGATACAAGTATACACACACGTACATATACGCATATAAGAAGAGAGAGAGAGAGAGAGAGAGAGAAAAGTATAACATAATTGAAGGAGCGATAAGTGTCGAATTATCGGCAATTATTTTCACATCGTACTGTTTTTTTCTTTCTACGACCACGACGATTTTCTCCGCTCGTTCATCGGTTTCTTTTTCGTTATTATCGGTGACTGCGCGTTCTCCTTGCGAGAGTATATCCACAAGATTGGACAGAGTGCAATCGAGTTGTGATCATCGAAGTGGACTGACCGATCGAGTTCTCGGCTGTGAAGTGAATTAATATCCCAGGAAAACGATTGAAACGGAGAAAGGAAGTGAACAGCGTACACAGGCGAGCACGGTGGCTGGAAACGGTGACTTACATCGAGAGCGCCAACCTGCAATCAAGGTTCATGGTTTTCATGGTGAGTCATCGTATCTGTTTCTACTAATTTTAATACGGTCGTGGTGCTTTTTCCTTTTCTTTTTTTTTCTTTTCTATTGCGGGTTCTTGTTTCCCCTCGGTTTAACACGCATTTACCGTAACGATGTATCCAGCGTTTCGAAGAAATGCCCTTCCTTTCTTAACGAGCTGCGGCAAGAAATTTGTTGCATAAAATTTTACGCAGAAACTTCGTGGCATGTTTACACATGATTTCTCCCTGTCTTCTCGTCTTCTTTTTCCCTTCTTTCTCTTTTCTTTTTTCCTGTTTCTTCCTCTTCGTATTCCTGTCCGGCCGTTCAATTACAAATTGGCCAGCGAACCCGTTATAAGTAACGCGATTTTATGCAGAATTTCCTCCGTGACGAGACGCCGCAACTCCCATGGAAATATATAGCACGTGTCACGTGCAATTTGCATAATGCGACATCGACACTTCTTCGATGTACCAAAACGTTATCTTTATGTACGTCGTATCGTTTCATATCGCGGATCATTGGATTATCGAGCGACCGGCTTAAACGGAACATCCAATAATGGTGAGTTCGAGGAACGGAAATCGTCTCGTAAATATCGATAAACAAGGACTACTGAAAATATTATTAAACTTCCGTCTCTGGCAATTTATTGCCATTCGCCAATTTTATCGCGAGACCTCAGTGATATTCGACGTGCGTCGCTATAACCGTTTCGATAAATGCTGGTCCGTACATCGAAATCCGCGGGCTCTCTTTACGCAAATGCGTAGAAAGTTTCTCAAATACTTCTATCCCGCGTTTACGCTTCGGTGTATCGACGAGTCTCCGACTCTTATCTCGTACGCGCACCTTTCGTTTCGTCGCTCTTCCGTTTCATTAAAAACTCGCCGAGTTTCCGATCCGCGTGTTTCTTCCCCTTCGCTCGACTCTCGACCTCACTGGTTTATCGAGGAATTTTATTATTACTCGTCTCTAAATTCTTCCCGAGGACGAGAATCGTCTGGTAATATCTCAATGCGGACGATACTCGGTCCGTTACGCAAATTCGTTGACGTAGAGGAGCAGAACTTTCGAATTACAGCCCCGTAACGTGGCCGGGTGATTAAGAAAAGCGTCGATCCGTTCGATTTCTCTCAGCTTATGTCGTGTCAGTTTTTCTTACTCTCGCTGGGATACTCTCTTCTGTCACCCTCAGAGAGTATCCCAGCGAGCCAGAGGGAAACGAAAGGAGAGAAGGATACAAAGGAGAGAGATCCCACCGGCGGGTTACGGGTCAGCCACGGTGGGGCATTAATAATCGTTTACAATCTTTAAAGCAGGGTGTGGCGAGTGCGTTAACCCTCCTCCTCTTCTTCCTCTTCTTCTTCCTTCTGTTCCTCCTACTCCCGCTGCTTCCTCACCGCTTTTTCTTACTCTCCTTTTGCTTCTTCTCTTCGTGATCGTCCGTGGCGCACCGGACGGGCAAAACACGAGGAAAAAGTCCGTAGCTCGCCTTCGTAAACCAGTTGGACGTATATATCGTGAAAAAAAGGATAATCAATGGCGAAAGGGTACGTATTCGATCTGTAGTCGTTTTATCGCGACGATTTCGCTGGCAGCGCGCGAGACGGAGAATTTATTTCTGGATCATTGAAAATCGTTGCAAGCGCGGCCGCGCGGCGTTTACAAGTCGACCAGGCGACTTCTTTCGTCGCGTCTCAATGTCGGTTCTTTTTTTTTTCTTTTTTCTTCTTTTTCCACGCGTTTTAGGGAGTGTACACGTGTAATTTCGCAGATTACTCGCGGCACGGCGTGCAGTAAGTTTTGACAAGTGGATTTACGCGAGGTCTCAGGCGTCGTTCGTTTTGTCCAAAACGCGCGGACGTTTAGATAGCCGGATGATTCATTTCGAGAGGCGAAGATTAAAACTGAGAAATTAACGTCACGTCGCGTAAACTCGACAAACCGGTATGCCGAACAGTTGTTTGGCGAATTTCGCCGGTGCCGACTGCACCTCGACCCCCCCGTTCGAATAAACATTCTTTGGTAGGAAGTAAACAAGTTTATCTTGCGTATATTTATTCAATTGCGCGTGGCCGCTCGATTTGGCCAATTTGCGCGCAAGAATTCCGTCGCACACCTGCGTTCCTTCATTCCTCATCCCCCGCCGAATTCCTCATTTCTCGCTGCGTTCGAAGTTCCCGATCCTCCTCGTCTCTCGTTTGGCTCTGACGTTGGTTGTTCGCACATTAGAAAACCTTAATAAACGCGCGCGTACGATCTTAATGAGGCTGGATGTTTAAGACCGCGAAGGAGAGGATACGAGCTGGAAGTTTCGTTCGGTGACGTGAATGGAGAAACGAATCGTCGCCCCGTGGTGGTCGAAAGAAATTCCTCGCCATCGCGTTTCCCCTCGCGGTGCGTTATTAACGACGACGATAAATATGCGTGGTTCTTTTCGCAAGTGCGACGAATCGGCGATTGCGTCCATCGAGACCCGAGTCGGCGAGCAAAAAAAAAAAAAAAAAAGAAAAAAAAGAAACAAGAAAAAAGCAAAAAAAAAAAAAAAATTCCGTGGAAGGAAACGGGTTCCTCGAGAGCACGTGTGTTCCCCTATCGGCTGTCCCGTGAAAATCGGTCGTCGGCCCCTTGGTCACCTTCTCCGCTACGAACGGCCTCGCCATTAACAACCACCGCCATAACCGCCACCTGCAGCGACGAATCAGCATATTTAGCGTCGAGCCGAATTTAATAGAGGCCATCGTTCTAGAGGCGTGCATCACGCGGCTGAATTCGCGAGACGCATCAATAATATCCGCGCGGTGATGCATAGCGCTCGTGGCATTATGTATGCACGCTGCCTAACCGCTCGCGAATTCTTTTGGAATTCAATTTGTGATTCCGGCCGTTTGTTCGTTCGCGCTGCCGAGATATACGTTTACGGTTTAAACGCATTTGCATCGTGACGCGCATCGCTCGGCACTCGCCACGGTTATCACGGTCGTCGTGATCTTCCATCGATATTCCGCCGCAATAATTCAACTTGGTAACTTTTACTGCCTTCCAGTGCTTTCATCGTCACTATCGCGTAACAAATGCGTCACAGTGGAACAAGTTCGAATCGAACGTTTCGTTTGTGCTAGACCCTACCGTTTCTAGATTTCCAAAGATCGTCCAAATCGGACTGTATGTTTAATTATTCACGCGGCGACGAAAGTGTCGACGACACGTGGAATAATGAAGCCGCACAACAACCACCGGAGAGTCGAGCGACGCGTCGTTGAACGTTAAACTCGTATCCGCCTGCTTTGAAACGCGCCATAAATATCGACATTACTCGGGCTGCGGCGAAGAAGTCAATAAAAATTTTCCTCGTCACAAATGAACGTTTATCGGTCGTATATCAAGTGAGATACTTAACAGCCGGCGAATACCTACGGAATCAAATTCCGCTAAAGGGTGGAGATCTCTAGGCTTAACGTTCGTAACGCGCGTACGTTGCTCGCGGATCTACATATTTTTCTTTTTTTTTCTCTCCGGCGGGAGAGACATTAAAAGCCAAATGAAATCCGTGGCATCGTCGTAACCGGCTACGGTTGCTCCACGCTCGTGAAAAATGAAAGAACATCGTGCCACGATTCATCACCCGCGTACCGCTCGCAGTCCTCGTGAAAGTGATGCATGCTTCTTGTCAAAGACGATACGCTGAATATCATTTGTTCTCCGGTACTCAAATATACCCGGTATCTAATTTCCATTCGGCCGATACTGCGGCCACGAATCTCCAGCTGGCGCCGAGGTCCCTGGATTCCAAGTTTTCGTCGAGACGGAATATGGGTGTGTACCTGGAATTCTTCGAGACGTTTAATAGCCCGAATAAACGTCTTAATGGGGGCTTCTAATCGTTCGCTTAGAATGTTTTTATAATCGCCGTACAATTTTCACCGCCTTTTATAGGTCGTTCGTTCATTTTTCGCTGTTTATTAACAACGCTGTCGAACGTGGGAAATATTGGAAAATGTCGGAATTGAAAGAATATTGCGAAACGGGATTCCGATTTTAAGCGCGTAGACGTGCTTTCTCGACGCGCGTTTCCACTAGGTTTCAGATTAATAAAACTCAAGTCCGCTTCTCGAGTGATCTTCAGCTGTTCGCTAAATATCTCATCTCACGCAGCGGGGAGATAATAGTAAGTTCAGATACATATAATACAGGAGTCGAGCGACACTCGCATCTTTCTCTCGTTTCCTGTGTTATCAGATCGGTAAATTCGGATTTTTTAATATCGCGCTGCGAGCTAGCCAGGAACGTGTTTAAAAGGTAAACCCTTGGTCTTTATACGATCGTTATTTTAGCGCGCAGTGTGCCCGGAACCGTCCGGCGTGCGTAACTTCGTCTTATTTTTATTGGAGCAACGCACCAGCAATTTTCGTCTCTCCTCTCTTATCTGTCGCGCGCCAGGCACACGATACAGGAAGATGCTACGTGGTGCTTTGAACGTGACGCCCACGCGATATGCCCGCGTACCGGTACCGTGCCGGTTAATTGTTCCGATGGATTTAAAGTCGGCGTCCGAAATAAATGAACGTCGCTTGCCAAGCTGCCGACCCATCGTATAATACGGTCGTCGTCACGGATTATATTTCTTTGGGATGGGAGACGTACCTACTTGAGCGCGAGTGAAACTCCAGTCTTCGAATTCTTTTCCGGAAACGTGAGGCGTTTGGAGGCGTGACACAGTTTGAAGCTTCGTCGTAGCTTCGAATCTCAATTTAGCTCGAAGGCACCGCCGATTCCCGCGGGTTCCAACGGGTTTAAATTATGTTGGTTTTTACTCGCCACGCGCCGCGCGATTGCGAAATCCTAATTGGCTCTCACGTCGTCGTTGCTCGTCGTTCGAAACTATCGAGAAGCGAATATATATTTAAACACACGGGGGAATTTGAAATTCAAGTCGAGCGATGCAAAGCCGTTTCATCGAGTTGATCTCGCTGCGGTTTTACCTTCGGTTTGAATACGGCTTATG